TCTCTTGTCTCTTCTTCTCTGCGATGGCCTTCCGCCCGTTGGAATGACCCTCCACCAATGCCACCCACGTCCCGCGGCACCATTCGCCTCGCCACCGGGTGGGGTAGCGGTGCTTGATCTCTCGCACGTTGGTCGCCCTCTCACCCCATCTCTGGGCCACGGCCAGCGGCATGGTCTCCCACATGCGCCGCGCCGTGTCGTCCTCACAGTCGATGACCAGGTGGGTGTAGTTGGCGGCCGACTGATGGAAGAGGGGCGTGCCGAGACGCCGGCGGTGGCGCGTCAGCTCCCAGGGCTGCAGGTGGCCGAACACGTTGGCCAACTCGTCACGGGACAGCCGACGACGGGCCTGAAGTGACAATCAACAGGACATCAAAGTAAGGTCAAGATGGTTCGATGTATCACATGTATCATGGTGTCGTCCTTACCGGTCCTTGGTTGTTGACAGGTGGAGGGTTGCCCCTTCGATGGATCAGACGATAAGACGGACCACTGGCCACAGGCGCCTGCAATGCAACAAGACAACATGACAGCAACAACAAGGCAGAGGGCGGATCTATGCACATATGGCAATGGACGGCCACCCACTCCACCTCACCTGTGGCTCTGTGTGTGCGGCCCCCGATGCAGCAGCAGCAGCGGCGTCGGTGGTCGAGGTGGGTGCATCTACAGCTACAGCACTGGCGAGGCTGGGCTCTCTCTGCTGGAGCTTCGGGGGAAGAGTATCCAGGAGGCAGGCCACGGAGCCCAGCTGATAACTCAACGCCAACCCCACCGGCGACGATGCCTGCACCAACGAAGGACACAGTGAGCGGCTCCTCTGTGATCCAGGCCTCTCCGTCAGTGAGTGTTATCCACCTGTGCAGCGATGGTGGCGGGATCTTGGTCGAGGTGCAGCGCCAAGCTGTCCTTCACAGTACGGGCATTCGCAACAAACTGAACGCTGAGAGAACAAAGCACGTCAAAAAGGAGAAATCGAAAGAACGGCGAAGGCGCCTTTTTCCGCCTGAGTTCTCTCCTGTATGTGTGTGTCGCCCTGTGCCCTGCCTTGTGAGCCTTCCCGCGTCGCACATTCACCTGATTGACGTCCATCAGATGTGCTGGATGTGGAGAACCAGCCACAAAGCTATCAGACAGCAAAGGCGGCAGCAATCAAACCCCTGCAATGAGAATGCATCCCAACTCGCAAATGGGAAGTTACACGCCGGTGGGTTAGTGTCCTGTTCTCGCGATGATTTGAACAGCATGTAGAACCATCGCGAGAACAGTGCAACACCTTCCATCCATGCAAACATGCAACACCCGTATCCACCGGCCGGCCGAGAGACAATCAGACAAACATGCAATGACATCCAACGTTGTGAGTGACAGGATCCAGTGAGATATCAGGAGACAGACAAGGCAAGCCATGCAAACAGGAGGCAGCCAGCAAGCGAGAAAAGAACACTTCACCCACCCAGGCAGGCAGTAGGATCTGTCCTCACTGACGCACACATCCATTCCACTGCAGACGCCCACGCACACCAACCGGCGTGGATGAGTGAATGGGCGAGGAACGTCTCTCTACCCATCCATAAGCAGCTGCCACCGCCCGGCCCGCCCATGACAGCACAGGTGGACCGACGGGGCCGTGGGTGTGTCCTTACTGTTTGTCTGTCTGTGTGTCCCCTGTCTGCCAATCTCCGGGGTGAATGTCAACCATCCGATGCCCAATTGAAACGAAACAAGAGGGTCTCACGTTCCCTCACAGAGACACGAACCCACACACATTGAAGGTCTCCAGGCATCAACAGACTTAGCTCGATCAAGCAGAAAAAGTCGTCGTCGGACCAAGCAATAAAATCACATGGTACAACCTACTCATACACTGACTCATCGATCCCGTCACCCGTCCACACACACGAACTGGATGGGCGGGCTGTGTGGTGTGAGAGATAGAGCCAGGCAGCTCGCTATTCATCGGGCTGGGCCGCTCCCTCCAAGGGTTGCGCAGCCGTCAGCCGTCACTCGCGGCCCCCTGTCACTAATTCACACGCACATGGCAGCAGACGTCACATAGCATGTTATCTATGTGTGTGTGTGTGAGTGGATGGGGTGTTGGGACGTCGAGGTCAGATACAGAGATGCAGCAAGGGCGCAGCGATTGCATACATTTCCACTGGCCTAAACTCATTCATTAGAAACGTACAAAAGCATGTGCGGCCAGCAGCAGCTATGGCCTGTCTATGCGGTGATAACATTCTTCCGTAGGAATGCATTGATCTCCATCGACTCGTACAGAATGCCGCCGTCGGGCAGACCCAAAGCAGGCACCTGACTCACACAGACACACACACACACGCACACACACCATCCATCGGCCTTGCACATGTGAGTGTAACAGCACAGCACCTCCTACCTGTGTGAGTCCGCCCCTCTGTTTGAGTTGGTCCTTCTGCGACGGGTCGCCCTTGACGTCCACCAGCGGCAACATGCCCTGCAGCCCCAAAGCAGTCAGCTGGTCCAGCACATGGACGCAGAAGGGACACTGGGGCATGTAGAAGAGGCAGTAGCCCTCCTTCGACAGATCCTGCACACACGCAGCCCACACAATCATCTCTCTCTCTCTCTCTGTGTGTGTGTGTGTGTGTGTCATCCCATTGCCCACCGTGGCCTTGACACGTTTCATGTTTTCGACAAGCGGTGCGGGCGGCGCGTCCTTGCGAGAGGCCTTGACCTCGCTGATATAGTCGCGGCCCGTCTGCTTGCCCATCCACTGCAGCACGGCGTCAAACGAGTAGTCGAATGGACCAGGCCCACCTGCACCAACGACGCACACACCGCACACAGACCCATTCCCCCTCATAAGTGTGTTTGTTTCCTCGATCTCTGGCCGACCGATGAATGCCAGAGTGCCATCGGGTTTGAGGACCATGAGGCGGTCGGGCCAGGCGGCGTAGGCCACGCAGGCCTCGTCGTCCATGCCGTCGATGAGCAGCTCGCCAGTGACGCCCTTGCCGGCGAAGAAGTCCACCGCCAGCTTGGTCCGCTCGGCGAGGCTCGTTGTCTGCTTGACCTTCAGATTCCCATACACCGCCCACTCATCAGTCGGGTGGGCCTCCTGTGGCCACACACACACACAGACATGGAGAGATGGCCGCAGTCGTCACCCACAACCTCTGCTGGTGCGTGTGGTGTGTGCTGTTGAGTTACCCTCATGTAGATGGTGACGAACTTGGCGTCGTCCTTGAGCAGCTGTTGGGCGACCATCAGGTCGTCCATAACAGCCGCAAACTGACATGCCAATCAATCAAGACATACAAACAGGGGGAGAAAGGGGCCACTCTCGAGCAAACCGAGGAGGGAGGCGGATCGGTCTCCTCTCTCTCGTGGCACTTACCGGGGGTCAGCTGCAGCTGCCGAAGTTGAGCACCAGGAACTTGGTGGCGTCGAGGAAGTCGTAGATGTAACGCCTCTCACCCTCAGTCGTGTACACCACACAGTTGGGCGCCTTGCGGCCCTCTCTCAGGGTCCAGCGGCCACGTCTGCACACACAACACACACACAGCGTCTCCCTCCCTCCCTCTCTTCCTCGGCCCCGCGCCCACCTGTGAAGGCGCACATAGATCCAGATGCGGTGGTAGAAGGCGGGATTGGTCAGCGTGTGCCACATGGTCTCGCTGAGGTCATGTCGCAGCGGGTTGGGCTTCTCGGCGCCCAGCTCTCCGACGCCTTGTCGGTTGGTCATCGGGCCGGGCAGCCCGGTGACCTTGACGCCCAGCTCTCGCGAAGTGGGAGCATCCGGCTTTGTCGAAGCAGGAGCCTCCTTCCAGCCGAGCAGTCCCTTGATGAAACCCATAACGCACTTGAGAATGTAGCCCTGACAGCAGACAGACAAGGCACACACACCAACAAGCATGCATCTCATCCTCCCAATGGCATGCTGCTCATCAGCTCAGAGACGTCGCCGACGGACTGACCTGTGTCAAGAATCCGACCATAATGGCAAACCTGATGACGTCCAGTGGCAGGTACGCCACCTCCCACAGCTGCTCTGACACCGACGAGGCCCTCATCTTGTGTGGAGGAAGAGATCAGCACAGCAGTCGACGACCTACACCATGCAGACCGCCGACCACCAGATCCAGGCGCTTGCCGACACCTCTCCGATGCCGCTGGCTAGCGAAAGAATGGATGAATTGGGAAAGTCCTTCTCTTGGAGCTGAGCTCGCAAACCCCCAAGCTCGCAGCCCGCTCTCCGATTTTCGACGGAAAGGCCAGCGATGATAGCGGCGATTGAGGTGCTGTCAGCTCACACGCTGCGGATCGGCGCCATTCTCGAGCTGATCTCCGTGATCTTTGCCCACACCCTGTTCGTCTCCGGATGCCTTTCCCCTATCTATGACGTGTATGCGGCGTCCATGACGGGCCAGCCCGTCGATGACTACGATGCCAAGATGAAGGCCGCCGTTGCAGCCGCCCGCAAATGGAGTCTGCCCTCCCTCTATGGGCAGGTGCCGTGGATGACGGGCGCCCTGTTCATTCTCGGCTTCCAGGTGAGCATTCCACTGCAGACAGAGCGGAGGTGAGCTGTGTGTGTGTGTGTGTCGCGTCAACAGGTGAAGCTCACTGCAGACCCCTGGCTGTCCTCTCGGCATCGTCTGTTTCGGCTGGGAATCGGAGTGCTGCAGATCGGTGCCTTCCTGGACGTCACCTGGAACCTCGTCAGTCTCGCCGAGTGGTCAGCTTGAGGGCGTCCCAGATCCCATCGAGGGTGGCACGTGTATGCGTGTGTCTGTGTGTGTGTGCAGGGTGATTGCCGTCAACTATGTGAAGGCCTCCGACGCGACCGTTACCGCCCTCATTGAAGGAGGGTTCTTCTGGTGGCCTGAGATGCTCTTCGAGTGTTTCTTCTCGCTGCAGGCACTGGTGAGTGAGCGCGAGTGACGGTGTGGTGCCCGTACGTGTGTGTCGCGCGTAGTTGTATGGTGTGGCTTTCATGCTGCTGGATGTGCATCATCCGGAGGGCGGCAGCACCTGCCTGGCCTGGACCCTCCTCGTCTCGTGGACACTCACAGGCACCACCGGTACACACACACACAAACAGGCACACACAGGGACACACAGAAACGGTGCACATGGATGTGTGCGTTTGCATTCAGCCTTTCTCCGTCTGCTGGTGCCCCCCTCGTTTGCACCGCTGAGCGTTGTGGTGCCCCTGGACACGCTGCAGCCCTTCTCTCTCATCCTATCTCTCACCCTCACTGTCGTCTGGTCTTTCTTATTCGAGCCGGCCGTCAACAGAGGCATGGACGCTGAGGCTGGTGGTGCTGATGAGTATGGTGGCCAGAGCATACCCAGCCATCCAGTGTGGCAATCGGCTGGTGTGAGTTACGGCCCTCTGAATGCTGCTGCTGCCCCGCCACACGCATACGAGATGGGTCAGGCGTATAAGTAAAGGAGAGCGGGACAGTGAGTGGATGGAGGTGTGCTGATGTGTCGTTGCAAAGGGACAGTGTGTCCATTTAGCCAGGTGTGTATATGGCTTGCGTTGCGTTGAGGAGGCTATTTGACTAGGTGAGTGCCATTTAGGTTTATGCGATGCGATGCAATGTGAGGGTATTAGTGGTGCGTTTCGGTGTGTGTCCTCCCTCCCTTAAGGTGTAAGGTAAGGTGTGTTTCTGCCTGCTTTATCCGTCCGTGCAATGCGATGGCGCCTGTGTGGGTCACCGACCAATGGACCAGAACGACAGTGTAGACGCATGCATTCGTTTGCAGGGTTGCCCATCAAACCAATAAGATCAGATCATCACCGAGTCCAGATTTGAACCAATCAGCAGGCAGGGCTTGCACCGTCGCCCACTTTCATCCAATACCTTCACACAACGACACAGAGAGAGACAGCACACACACACATACAAAACATCAAGAAGCGCTGTCGTCCTCCCCTCTGCGTACCTGTCTCACAGCTGCCTCCAAGGCAAATCTCAGCGTCAGGTTGTGGCCATTCCCGAACCAATCCACCACTGCCTTCGCAAACAACGACGTGCCATCTCCTCCATCCCCCTCCCCACCGGTCCCGCACACCAGGCCGCGATTAGGCATATGCGACAGCAGCACGGCAAGCCGGCGATTGCGGGCAATGTCGGCGTCCGGCATCAGGCCAGGCCTGAAATGGCTCAGAGGCCGCCCTGGCTCACCCCAGAGCGGAGACACGTGACGCACGAGAGACACTTCATTGGCACACTTGTTGGGAAAGGCGTGTCTCAACGCCTCGGTTGAGAAGCCTACGATCCGGTCAGTGGGCTGGACGGGGGGCGAGAGGAGGGAAGGGGGAATGGGGATTTGGATGGGTGTGCATGGGCGCAAGTTCCGTCGGTCTGCCGGACTGCCGTCCACAGGTGTCACCATGCGTGTCTCCGGCGGTCTTGTCGCCGTCTCTTGACACCGCAGCAGGCTCGCAGGCGGGTTGTGCGGTGTGCAGCAGCGATCGCCACCAACAGGACTCGACTGGGCCACTTTCGCCGTGAGCCCCAAACCATAAGACACCTTCCAGTCGGGAAGAGCAGCAGATGGTGACGGCGAGTGGCCGTCGATCACCACGACGCTCGGGCCACACGCTTCTGGCGGCGGCGAGCTGCCGTTTCTCGATACGCGATCCGACAGCCGCTGCGCCACGTAGTCGAGCGTCAGGTATCCGGTGAGCGGGGCTTGGGGCAGCAGAGTGGAGACTTCGAAAGGCGAGTCGATGCCGTGCAGAAGTGTCGTTCCGTCATGCTTCTGGCTGCCCAGGCCAGTGAAATAGAAGAGAGCAACGTCATCAGGCTGAACAGTGGCCACAAACCGGTCGAGGTCGTCCCGCATGGCCGCAGTCATCCGGTCCGTCAGCACTTGAACGGTGAAGTCGAGCGAAGAGAGGTGGAGGGCGACAAGTTGCGCGTCTGGGTGGGATGCGGGCAGGCGTCGGTCATGGCTGCCTCTGTTGGCGATGATAAGGGCTGCAAGGAGAAAAGGGAATCCATCAATCATCTTGGCCATATCATTCTCCCCCATTTGCTTCTCCCCCCACCTCGCTTGCCACGGCGTTCGGACTCATAACCCTTCAGCCCCAAGCAAATTTCGGGTTCTTCGCAGCTCATCGCCGTCCTCTGTCGGCCTTCCGGCTCCACGGGCGTGACGATCGTTCTGCGAGCTCATCTCAGAGGTCCCAGATGGGACAATCCTCTGGGTTCTTTCCGGGAGCTGGAATGCTCAAGGTAGCATTCACATACACAGATTTGATACACACGACTGTCCATTTGTATGTGGCTGGTGATGTTCAGATGTTGCCGTGTCTGAGGTCTGATGTGAAGCATGGTGGATAAAGTCCCGCTGATCAGGGTGTCTGGGAGCTCGTGGAGGGACCTAGGGCGGCAACACGGGGCGGCTCTTAAGGACCGGATCCACGCAAGCGCCTCGTTCTATTTGGGCTTTTTCCAGGACAAGTGGCACTTCACTGAGGACGAAATCGAGGAGCAGTGCCGCGGCTACGCAGAGGCCATCCGGTCATTCAACGGCGATTACACAGAGGAGATCGAGGGAATCGCAGAGGCGGCCCAGCTGCCCGCATGGAAGGTCAATCAGAGCGCACATACGACTCACGGGGATGACCTCTACACGCTAAGTTTTGCTTCTGTTGGATGCCTGCAGGTGTATGCCCTGAATTGCAGGACAGAGCTCCTCAACTGGAAGAAGAGCGTCACCGAAGCGGCAGCACCACAAGCACGTCCTGAGGATCCAGTCGACGTCGACAGCTCCTCGTCTGTTGTGGGGGGAGAGTGCACTGCTCTGTGCAATGCTAGTGCGGGGCTGCTGGCACAGAACTGGTATGTGCCCGTCTAGCATACGCATACAAACGCCGCTGCATACGTACGCGTGCACGTGGGCTGTGGTGCACAGGGATTGGGACGTACGCTTGGAGGATCTGGTGGTGGTCCTGCTGATGGACAAACCTGACGGCTCACAAATCATGATGCTCACCGAGCCCGGCGTGATTGGAAAGGTGCGTCTGCACACGAACAGGCGAACGGCACATGGGAAAGACGGCAAGATGACCGCGTGTGTCTGACTTGTCATGCGTGTGGTTCAGATAGGCATGAACAGCGCTGGCGTTGGCGTCACACTACAGCTGCTGCATTGCCCCTGTCCGCGAGCGCCCCCCGGCACCACCGTGGCTGCTCGTCAGCCGACAGAGGACAGCCACGGCATTCCTATTCACATTCTGCTGAGGACAGTGCTGGACTCGCACTCGGCCACTGAGGCCTTCACCAAGCTCAGGGGTCTGCCGCAGGGCAAGAGAAACACAGCCAGCTGCATTATCATGGCCGACAAAGGAGGCAACTGCCACACGCTCGAGTTCGCCAGAGGAGGTGAGTCATGCCATCACCAGCACACTGCGAAGCCATTCACAGTGTCCCAATGACATTTCCTGTGTGTCAGCGATGGACGACATCAAGTGTCTTCCCGCAACGGACAAGCGCGCCTGCCGCCCCTTCCCCCACTGCACCCCCATCCACACAAACCACTACCTGGGCTGCGGGCTGGAGTGCCAAACGACGGGGAGCGAGACATCGTATGCGAGGTTCGACACGATGGAGAGGCTTCTGCAGGAGCTGAGCGGCCCGCCGATGCTTGAGGACATCAAGCGGGTGCTGGCGGACCGGTCAAATGCAGAGTTGCCCATCCAAAGGCCGTACAAACATGACAAGTAAGTATTTCAGCACCGATGGCGCATTTGGGTGGTTTATGGATATAGACCTGCTGTGTGTCTTGGTCGGTTGCCGTGTGTGCAGGAAATACGGCCTGATGGGAGGCACAGTGGCCACAGTCATCCTGGAGCTGCAGAAAGGCGTCTTCCATGTCACGCGAGGTAGGTCTGTGTGTCGAGGAAAGAGGCTCTTGGCCACGTCTCACTTTTCGTGCATCTGCATTGTGTGTGTGGATGTGGGTGCAGGGAATCCCTATGAGCATCCGCTCGAGGCAATTTCGGCGCCGTGGGCGGCATGAGAATACATTAATTGTGGATACGCATATTTTTGTAGTACCAGTGGGATGCGTGTGAAGCCATGTGTGTGGGACCGGTGATTGGCAGACCATTGTGATGATCGTGAGAATCAATATGCACGATAAGATCCATTGCATGCCACGTAGATTGTCCTAAGGCCGGACGTCCACGCATGAACGTGCACGTGCACATTGAAATCCGTCTCCCATCCACACTCCATTCGCACAACCCATGCATCATTCAATGGTCAGCCACTATGAAATCGTCGTGTGTCATGGATACGCAGCAGCATAATGTGGGCTCTAAGAAGCACCCACCTCTCGGCCATCACAAAAGCACATATTCAGCCATCGCTGGCTTAGGGGTTTGACGGGCAACATGTCCCTAAGGCGCCCCCAAAACCAAACCATGGGTTCCTTGGACATGGCGTAGGTGGCGCAACTCGCACGTGTGTCGGAAAGGTTGTCCCGAATCGAATGACATTGAGGAGATCTCCTGTGCGGATAATGATGGGAGAAGTGCCAGACCTGTTGTTGCTGTTCCGCTCCCTGCCGACGTCTACTCTGCGGCCATTCTACCCTTCTTACCTCTGGATGATGCTGTGAAGGTTCGCCCCACCAGCAGGACGCTCAGCAAAGCCGTCGATGAGGCCTTCCTGATGCGCCACATTGGCAGATGCCTCGCACAGCAGCGGCTGAACGGCCTCGTTGATGTGGAGAGGAACACACAGCCAGCCGCTCCGTCCCTTTTCCGCTTTGGGAATCTATGTCGGTGCGCTCACATAATCGACAGGGCGGCTGGGTGGCGCCACATGGCCACTGTGGTGCGGCTGGCGAGTGCCTGTGGTGCGGTGAGGGGCGGCCGGCTGCCCCTGGTAATGTCGGCTGAGTGGCTCGTGGCGCATTATCTGCCCGACACAGCGACATCCGACGGGCGGCCGAGGGGGGCGACCAAAGGCTCACTCAGATACGTCCGGGCAGTGTGGAACATGCTGACAGGTGGCAGTGACACGTCATCCGAGAGTGTGGCCATCAAGCAGACGGACAGTGAGGAGGAGGTGAAGCTCATGACCTACTGGCCTGAGCAGCTGCAGCACCGCTGGTTTTGGTTTGAGCTGTTCTGTTGGCTCTGTTGTCCATCCATCGTGGCGGCGTTCATTGGCGGTGCCCGCGTGGCCATGCAGCGCCCTTTTAACTGGATCGGTGATCTGCTGCTGTTCCTGTGGTTCCTGGCGATGATGATCTTTCCTTTCTCGGCCGCTGGGCTCAGGATGCTCGAGGATCTCGAGGGCCCGCAGTGCTCCATGCCTTGGCTGACCATCGGCGGGAAGCGATTCCGCGTCGTTCCACGGGAAGAGATGTGCAGGTGGCACCCTTTCTGGCGAGACTACGACGAATTCGACCCGCCCATCCGCTGCGGCCAATGGTTGTATCCCTCCTGCACGTCATTCATCGCCTACACGTTGCTGGACAGCCTGGAAGTAAGGCAGCGGATGACGCATCTATACTCGATAAGCGCTGACCATTGGAAGCCGCTGTACCTTGGTGACGCTAACCATTGGGAGCCGCTATACCTTGGTGACATCACTGGGGTCGCTGGGGAGGCGGACATACTTGCTACGTTTGAGGCGCCGCAAGACTTCGGCAGGATAAAGCGTTTCGAGGTACATCCGGTCAGGTTTTCGAGGAAGATCGTGTTCCTCCTAGGAGGGTCCGGTGGACCTATTGTGCTGGTCATTTTCGTCAGTAGCCTTTCCGTCAACGACGGGCCTTCTGTCAACGACGGAAAAGTTTGGCGGGTGGACACCAGTGAGGAGCCGGTGGCTGGTGGCCGGACTCTCGACGAGCGTCTCCCCGTTACTATGGCTCGGCTGAAGCGGTTCCTGTGGCGATACGGTGGTGGGGTGGACTAGCTAGCTGAGTGGGGTCATTTCGCCAAGTGTATATTGTGCAGCGCGTGTGTGAGTAGGTAGCTAGGACTGCTGCTGGATCGGGGGCGGGTGCTCGGCTGAGTGTGTCTCGAGGAACAGCCAGGCCTTGAGTTAGTTATTTGGAGGACAGAAAGTGTCACTCGAGCAGGACACGGCTCACAAAGGAATCAAAAGAAACTCATCAACGAACCAAACCATTCACGGAAGCGAATGAATTGAAGCGCATTAGTGAGAAGTCTGAGTCCAACATGTAACGATCCAATACAATGCGCTTCCATGTGCGTACGTATATGTCCACATATGCACTTATCTACATATACACATATATACACATCGACACGCATACGCAGTGCCAAAAAGGACATCACATGATATGACAAGCAACCAACACACGCCTCACTACTAAAGCGACGTACGCCGTCCTTCCGCTGTCTGCTCGGTGCGGTCCAGTCCACTGCAGTGCATTTCTAAATCCCTATGTCTCTTTTTTCCAAGAGCGACAAATGTTGTACCGGATAAATCGGCCACTCTGTCATCCCTACTAATCCCAATTGCCTACACCCTTTCGTCTCCCATACGATCTGCGGCGACATCGCCATTGCCACCAGACTCAGAGCCTCCCTTTCCGGCAGCACACGTCGCTCGTATCCACATACTGCCGATGGCCGCGCATCCAGCAGCCGCCACAATCGCCGACACACGAAACCGGGTAGCTAAGGCGAGTCCCGCAATACCAGCACACTTGGTAGCCGCGCTGTGTCGAATAGCTGGGCCACGACGACAGGCAAGAGGCAGAATGCCGCACCAGAAGAGACGCCGTACACGCGCAAACAAGACAAGCTGCCAGAGACGGCGGGCGATCGTCAGGGAGGCGATGTCAAGAGCCATCACAAGAAACCCAACCCACAAGACGCCGATGCGGCCGAACAGATCAGCGAGCTTGCCCACGATCACCCTGCCGACGGTAGATGCGATGCCGAACGCTGTCACAGTGAGAGCGGCTCGATCCGACGACAACCCGTTCTCTATGCCCCTGATAATCGCATCACAAGAACACATGTGGCGTCCTACGATAGTGCCGCTCTGCGCGTCGACTTACCAGTTGGGAAAATGAGCGAGGATGCCCAAGTAGGCGTACGCCCAACAAAAGTACCCAACCGATAGCAATACGAGCCAGGAGTCGCAGAAAGAGACCACTCGAACGCAGATGGTACCGTCCGGCGCACCGAAGCCGGCTCTTTCCGCTCCGCATTGCAGGTGTGCCAGTCAGATGATGTCGGCAGCTTATTGGCTGGACTCCCTTCTTTGCCGTTCTCGGGTGCGACAGCAACAACCAGACAGCCTCCTTTGTTGTCTGCTCTCCAGGAAGAGACGAGGAGCCCTTGGCCTCTGCTTTTGGGCGCCCTTGTAGATGTTGGTGGCTCTCACGTGGCCTGGACACGGAATGTTTCCTTCCAGCCGACATTGGTCAGGAGAGCGTCGAACAGCGGGGCAAATGCGAGAGTGCCGATGCCGCTCCCAGATATAGCCAGGCCTGCAGACGAGCACAGACGAGAAGAGGTTACAGTTGTGCGGTTGGTTGTCAGTCCGCTCACCGGTGGCAAACGCCATGTGCTTGTCGAAGTGGAGTGGGATGATGGTGATGGCAGCCATCCTCGCTCGGCCCCAGCCGAGTCTGCTGACGACGCCCCAGGCGAGACAAAGGTGCCATAAATCAGTGGCGAAGGAGCAGAGAAGCAGACCGGGGACGAGCACGCCGCCCCTAGAGCCATCCTGACCACAGAGACAACAGCGCCACCGTTGCCGCACTTGCCCAGTGAGTGTCACACTTCTCCCACTTCTGAGTCCGTATCTCCCGCACTAAGACGCCATTGGTGAAAGCAAACAGCAGGAAGCATGCTCCTGCCAAACAAACAACAGTGTGCGTGTTACTCACCCATGATCTATCCGGTGCTGGCCCGCTGAGTGCGTGTTGGTCGTGCAGACACGCACCGCCACCCAATCGACAGTCATGGGAGAGGCTCAGTCGATGATGCTGGCCGCGGGCGCTGCCACGTACCTGCGGCGAAGACCAGTGATAAGCGCCCGCGTCGCGCCGCAGGCCTCCTGAATCGCAGGAAAGAACACGCCCTGAATCACACACACACGCGACGTCAGCAGAAGCGCATCATCTCCCGTGGCATCACTCACAAATGTATTCCGAGAGCCAACCAGCCACGAACAAACAAGAATCAGCCATCCTCGCCTCCAGACGTTTCTGTGTTCCTTGAATCGCGTTGCACGATCAACCCTAAGGCGAGAGACACGAACCGCGGGCTAGGATAGTTGCCCAGCAACCCGTGAATGTATCCGTCCAGAGTCGCTTGCCGCATTCAAACCAGGGATGAAGGCAACGATGACATGACGCGAGTCCACAGACATGATGCGAGTGCAAGGTGAGCAGACGCTCCTCCTTCAATGCCTGTCGGTCGTGTCAGTGCGTGGCTCACTGGCTAACGGTGACCAGCAGTGAAGCAGCGAGCACAGCGCTGCAGCAGAGGCATGATGCACACCCAGGCAGCCATATACTCGTGTTCCGTTCCATACAGCAGCTGTTGAGTCTTCCTTCGCCCTCTGACTGCTTCTCTCTCTGTGTGTTGTGTGTTGCAGTTGAAGTGCTTTTCTCGGTGGAAGACCCCCGGGATGTCATTTTTGGTGCGTCGGGCACTGTCCGATGTGACCCATCGACGAAGCGCGTGCGGGTCGATGACTGCATGGCGCTGCTCGAACAGGGACATAGACGCCTGCAGCACGGTGGGTGGGGTGGGGTGGGCAGAGGGGAGCAGATACCACACACACAGCTGGTTGTGGCGGGGAGGGCTCTTTCACTTGTCTGTTGTGTGTTCCGGCGTGTTTGCTTATCTTCTTTGCAGGCAAGTTTGATGTGTATTTGCCTGTGACGGATGGCGAGCTGCCGCAATACCTCAGCTCCCTGCCGTGTAAGTGGCTGTGGCTCATGGCTCATCAGTGCAGCACTGCAAGCAGAGGCAGATCGGTGTGCTGTCCTGTGTGTGCAGTGTCAAAGCAGATCCCCGAGCCAGATGGCCTCGACCGGTGGGTCGACGTGGAGGAGGACAAGAAGGGCCTCTTCCTGAGACTGCACTTGACGCAGGTGCGTTCACAACACACACTCACACACATTGCAATGTCAATCAGGCTGTTCACATCACATGTCCTTCCTCTTCTGCTCTGTGCAGCCTGAGCCGTCCGGCAACGGTTCATCGGACAAGAACGCCAGTGCGCCCAGCGTCAATGGCAACGGCAGCAGCGGCAGCCAGACGGGCGTCCAGAACCGCAACACCTCGGCATCCAGCACCACCGACCCCAGCGGCCCCACCAACGGCAGCGGGAGCATCATCGCCCCGCCCAAGAAGAAGGACCGATGCATAAGTACGGACACACACACACACACACTGCACACACCAAGGAGAGGCAGAGGGTCACATTTGGGGACTTCGTGTGTCTAATGTGTGTGTCAGCGTTGGGAGACTGGCGTCGAAAGATTCAGTTGGTTGAGGAGAAGCGCCAGACGGAGAAGGCGCGCATCACCGAGATATGCAAGTCAGTCGACTGGAGCCAACCCAGGTGAGTCAGCAAGCAATGAAGGAATGACTGCACCGACATGCATCCCACGCATCATGTGTGCCTGCGTGTTTCCCGTGTGTGTGCCTGCAGGCTGTCAGATGCCGTCAAATACATGAATATGGCGCAGCGCTTCATCAATGACGTCAAGTGAGCACGCACAGACACACAAACGACCGCTGCCGCCCACCCGAATCTGTTTTATGAGTTTTTTGCTTGTGTGTGTGCAGCCTGCCTGCTGAGCGCCGCGAGAACATCCGAAGCCTGCTGCAGAGCGACCAGACGCACATCCGCACGCTCAAGCGGGCTGTGGATGACGCCACGGCACTCCTGACGCAGCTGAATGGCACCGCACCCAAGCCCTCCCCGGCGCGGTCCCCCACCCCTTCGCAACACGGCCATCGAACACAGGCAAGCAGAAGGCGCACGGGACCGAATCTGCATCGTCATGTGTGTCCTCTGTCTGTCTGTCTGTCTGGGTGTATGTGTTTTCAGTCGATGCCTGCGTCGAGCGACCCGCCATCCTACTCGGTGCCGAGATCAGCATTCCACTCCGGTGAGCATCTCCACACCAGAGCAGCCTGCATGAATGGATGGAAATTCTTAAAAAAAGTGAATGCCGTCTCCCTCTTTCTCGTTGTGTCTTTCTCAGTTCCTTCCCGCGTTAGCCCCTTTGCGCCCGTGTACGAGCCACCACCACCCGCTCAATCATACGTCAACGGCGGATGGGGGGGCCATCCCCCCGTCGGCCGCTCTGTGGTGCCCCCCGCCTTTCTCCCGCCCTCGATGCATCAGCAGTCTTTCTTCCCCCCACACGCCCATCCACCACACGGATATTACCCGGCGTACGGCCCCCACTACGGCCACAACCATTTCGCGGCCGGCATTGCGGCGAGCGGGCCGTATGGCTACCCCCCACAGCACCATCACCGTGGCGTGGCTGCTGCCGGCATGAACATGCCCATCGAGGAGGGCCAGTCTTTCGGCTACTATGTGCCGGGTGGAGGTGCGATTGGCGTTGGGGGCCAGATGGTGATGCAGGGGCCGCCGATGGGGATGGAGGTGGTGGTGCCGATGGAGGACGACGAGCTGGCCAAGAAGGACGCCAACGGCAACGGCAATGAGTCCAACATGACCAACAGCACCTACTGGCCGGGCACTCGCTCCAGCAACCCATCCAACGGCAACAGCAATGGCAACGGCAACAGCGACGAGAGCGGCTCGCAAGGCAACTCGGGAGGCTCCGAGCAGAAGGAGGGGTCCGAGGGAGACACCACCGGCAACGATGTGTCCAACCAGTCGGCCCCCAGCCACAGCCACACCCCCTCTCCCTACCACCCACACCCGCCCCCAGAGGCGCTAAGGGAACAGCAGGGCATGCAGGCCGGCCATCGCCCGAAACTCGCCATTCCGGAGCATCCCGTCTTGCAGGACGTCACTGTGGCTGCTGGGGCGGGTGGGGGCGGAGGGGGCTGGGCGCGAGGGAATTCCTGACGTAGTGTCCGTCTGCCTGCCTGGCTGTATGTCGAGAGCCGGCGGCCATTCTGGTGTCGTGTTGTTGGCTACTGCTAATGTTTGCGTGAACCGGACACGTCGGCGGCTTGTCGGTGTGTGTGGGGGTGCGGTGCTTTTTGCCTTTGTTTTTGTTCTTGTGCGTGGAATGGAATGGTGTGTACAGCGTACTGCACAGTAGAGGCAGTGGGGGGCAATTGCACGACCCGTCTTGACTTTCTTCACTGGGCGGCCCGACGCCGTCCTTCTGGTTGTTCCATGGGGCCCACCTGGTGCCCAACTGGCTAACTCCTGTGTGCATGGATACTGGCTCATTTGTTTGTAGCTTAAAGGTGTCATGTGCGTGTGCGTGAGCCCCACTCATGCGAGCGATTTGCCTCCATTAAGAGACGGAGACTATGTGGGTGCCATCGATATCGACCAGTTGCGTATCCGTGTGTCTCTGTGGGTGTGTATCTGTAACAGGGATCGGGGGAGGAGAGAGCGGGTTTTAAGATCCTGCTGGCTACATATCCATCGGCGAAGTGTCCTCACTCTCTTCCTAGCCCCTCCTGGCTGGCTGGCTGGCTGTCTCGTCTCGTCTATGTCGGACTGATGTGCAACACTCTCTCTCCGTCAGCGTCCGAGTGGCTACTGTCACGCAAACACACTGAGTGTCTGGTTGTCTCTCAGCCGGTGGTGGATGTGGGCGTTGCATGTTTGCGTGTGTGGATGGTGAACACTGACTGAATGCGTGCATGAGCCCTGACTAAAGGGTGGCCAAATCCAAGCACCACAACTTATGAACACTAGCCCACGCTAACCCACCCGTGTAACTTTCCATTGGCAAGCCGAGACACGCCCCCTGTCCGATAGCTTTGTGTGGCTGGTTCCCCACCACCAGCACACCTGATGGACGTCAATCAGGTGAGCGTGCGACGCGGAGGGCTCACAAGGCAGGGCAGAGGGCGACACGCACATACAGGAGAGAACTCAGGCGGAGAAAGGCGCCTTCGCCGCTTTTTCGATTTCTCCTTTTTGACGCGCGGTTCTGTCTGCGTTCAGTCTGTTGCGAATGCCCGTGCTGTGAAGGACAGCCTGGCGCTGCTCCTCGACCAAGATCCCGCCACCATCGCCGCACAGGTGGGCAACACTCACTGGCTGAGAAACATTGCCGAGGAGCCGCTCACTGTGTCCTTGGTTGGTGCAGGCGTCGTCGCCCGAGGCATGGCTGGTGAATCATCAGCTGGGCTCGATAGCCCCACTGCTGAGCACCCTCACGAGCCGGCTTCAGCAGGGAGGGCCCAGCCCCACGAGTACTGTAGCTGTAGATGCACACACGGCGACCACTGACGCCGCTGCTGCTGCATCGGGAGCGGCATACACAGAGCCACAGGTGAGGTGGAGTGGGTGGCCGTCCATAGCCATCTGTCCACGGATCCGCCCTCTGCGTTGTTGTGGCTGTCATGTTGTCTTGTTGCAGGCGCGTGTGGTGAGTGGTCCATCGTATCGTTTGGTTCATCAAAGCGGCAACCCTCCCCCCGTCAACCAAGGACCGGTAAGGACGACACCATGACAGATCTGATACACCGAACCATCTTGACCTTACTTTGATGTCATGTTTATTGTCACTTCAGGCCTGTCGTCGGCTGTCCCGTGACGAGTTGGCCAAAGTGTTCGGCCACCTGCAGCCCTGGGAGCTGACGCGCCACCGCCGGCCCCTCGGCACGCCCCTCTTCCATCAGTCGGCCGCCAACTACACCCACCTGGTCATCGACTGTAAGGACGACACGGCGCGGCAGATGTGGGAGACCATGCCGCTGGCCGTGGCACTCAGATGGGGCGAGAGGGCGACCAACGCCCGAGAGATCAAGCACCGCCACCCCAAGTGGCATGATCTATGGTGCCGCGGGACCTGGGTGGCCCTCGTGGAGGGTCATTCCAGCGGGCTGGCGGCCATCGCAGACAAGAAGAGACGGGAGAGGGAGGGAGGGGAGGGGACAGCTGACGCTGAGGCGCGAGACGATGACCGCAGGCGGTCGGCTGATGAGAGCACATTGGAGGTGTTGGCATTCGAGCAGGTCGAGCTCGACCGGAGCATCCGCATCCCCTACCCTCCCCCCTCATGGGCTCTGCCCGCCGCCCCCTCCACCTCCGTCCGCCTGCCGGCACTCAAGACCGTCGACAACATCCCGAATCCCTTCCTGTCGGCTCGCGTGGGCCGCAAGTGGCGCACACCCGCCGTCAAGACGCTGATCACTGAAGGAGCGGAGGGCGGGAGGGAATGGGTGGAGGGCGCGAAGGCGTTGCAGGTGCTCGACCTTGCTCACGACTGGGACGCAGACGATGTGGCCGGTGTGCTGAGTGAGCTGCCCGCCGACGGGAAGTCACTGCAGTCGCTTCGCACACTGCGCGGCATCCGGCTGCTTGTTGGTACCCACGCCGACATCGACAGGCTGCGTGAGGTGCTGGTGGCGAGGGGCGTCAGGCAGTCCATTCGCGAGCTCGAGATCGACATGAGGTGGATGCTGAGCATTGGTTGGACTGTGGAGCGGTGCCAGAGCGTCGCACAGCTCATGTAAGGACGCAAAGAGGGACAGAGAGAGAGAGAGAGAGAGAGGAGAGAGGAGAGGGGGGGGGGGGGGGGGGGGG